ACTCATTTCCCTTCCTGGGCCTCAGTTTCCTCATCTGTAAATGAAGATATTGGAAGAGACATAGTCTAAGTTTTCTCCCAGATCCACAGTTCTGTGGTCCGCCATTCCAGATGTTCTTTGGGGATGTTGGTGTTGCCGGGGAAGGTGACTGGGACTTGGTGCAGTGAAGGAGAGGGCCTGCTTTGACCACCGCCGTTCCTGTTCCCTCACTGTCTTGAGTCTTGTTTTCTCCCCAGTCCTCAAGGCGGCAGCTGGAGCCAATGATGAGAAACACATGTTTCCAGGCAGCCCTGGTGTTGCGCAATGCCACCAAGGAGAGGGCAAAAAAGAAAGAAAGAAAAAAGAGAAAGGAAGGAAAGAAAAGGGCTTTGGTATTCTCAGCCTCCACAGACAATTCCCCCATTGATGTGCTGTGAGTCACGGCGGGCCGCCAGGCCATGGCGGTTTCTGAATCACTTCCTCCGAGAGGGGCTCTCCACTTGTTCCCTGGGCTGCAACGCCAGGAGGTTGGGCCCTTGGTGAGCCTCCGACGGCTCTCCTCTCTGCCAGGTTCCAGCAGCGGAGGTGGAGGCGCCAGGTGGCAGGGCGGAGGGACCTGCATGGGAGGTGGCAGAGAAGCAGGTTGAACCTGCTTGTTCCAACTGACCCCTTTCCAACGCTAAAACCCATGCCTCCCTCCCTGGTTAGAGAGGGAAGGGAAGCAAAAACCCAGATCAAAGGCTTTTCTCCAATGGGCACCAGTTTTTGCCAGATCCAGATTTTCCACCTTTCCTACCTTAATTCTCTAGTTGATGTGGACAAGGCTGGCATCTTTGGGGCAGTGGTAGATGTCAAGTCGGTGTTGGTCATTCCTGCAGTGACTCCTAAGAGAGTGTCTTGGGCTGCAGCTCTCGGTCTCCCATCTTACAGTTTCCATCTTTGAGCATGAGAATATCAACGGCCCGAGACACCCGCACCAGGGTGGTGGCATGGGAATGGGAGTCTTGCTTAGCATAAGCTTTATTCAATTGACAGAGAGCTTCAATCCTCACCCTGGGCCAGATTCTGTGGTGGCACCAGGGATTCAGTGAGGAAATGAACGTGGTCCCAGCTACAGACAAATCAGTGATGCAAACTCAATATGGCAAGTGTTCTAGGGGAGAGGTCCAGCGAAAATCATCCCACACAGACTTGGGGACAGGGGACTTCAGGGAAGGCACCCAGAAAGGTTTGTGGGATTCTCCTCTGTCCATCAACCACCCCCAGCACTGAACACGCCATGAGACCGACTCTCAGCCCTTAGAGATGAAGTGGTCTCTCCCCTCCAGACCAACAGAGGGCACTGTTTCCCAATGGCCCCAACTTTGGGAAATATGCTAGAATGCCACCACCTTGTGGGCATGCTGAACCATGTCCGGTTCACCACTCTACTGCTCCTGGAGCATTTCTCAGAGATGGGTTGGCTTGGAAGCAGTGCCCAGAAGAAACGGGATCAGGCATGGCTACTTACCTGATTGTAGCTACAGGTGAAAGGTGAAAGGTTAAAGGGGGACCTTTTATGAAGTCCCCCTGTCCACCTGCAGCTGGCTGAAGCCTTCCCTGAAGGAGGTGGGTTGGAATAAAAAGCTTCTTTATGGCAGGCACTACATCTCAGTCTTCTCTATGTCTCCCATAGCCTCTACCAGCCGGTCAGGAAGGGAATAGGTGCCCTGCACGTGGGTGCTACATGGGATTATTAATGTAAAAAGTCAGCCAGAACCTTAGCAAGGCTCTCTCTGTCTGTCTCTCACCACTGTGTCCCTAGCATAGTGCCTGGCCCTACAAATTATATGATGAACAAAGAAATGAAATAAGACACTTGCAAGTAAAGTGCTAGAAGCAGCAAGTATTTCTTGCTAGAAGAGGATATATATTGTCTGTATGGTCTAACAGTGGTTGGCAAACTGCAGCTCGCGAGCCACATGCGGCTCTTTGGCCCCTTGAGTGTGGCTCTTCCTAAGCCTTAGGAGTACCCAAATTAAGTTAATAACAATGTACCTACCTATATAGTTTAAGTTTAAAAAATTTGGCTCTCAAAAGAAATTTCAATCGTTGTACTGTTGATATTTGGCTCTGTTGACTAATGAGTTTGCCGACCACTGGTCTAGTAGAACCTCCCTTTCCTTAGGTGCATCCCAGAACGGTACAGCGACTTGCCCCAGGTCACACCACTAGTCTCAGAGCTGGGACCAGTGATATGTCACTGACGAGCCACTGTGGCTGCCTGGCAGGGTCAGCCATGTTCATATGAGGAACAAAGCAAGGCAGCATGTGTGTCTAGAGAAGGTGCTTGTCAAGAGCTATACCTGCTAGAGGAGCTTTCGGCTGAAGTACCTTTTGTGGGACCCAGGACTGGACACTGGCCTGTGCTCCTCAGGAAATCAGGAACCCTGGCCAGTGTGTTGAATGGGTAGCAGTCCAAGGGCTGAAATGCAGTCACTGGACACACACAATGGGATGCAGAAGGTGCCACAGACATGTCACAGGGCCACAGGGAGCTCTCGTCTCTGAGCAGGAGTCCATATATGTCAGTGATAGTTGTTGTTACTGTTGCTAAGCACATGGTGCTTCCTCGCACTCCCATCCCTTTGCACATGCTATTCTCTGTACATGAGTCTTTCCCTTCTCAGATGGACAACTGCTCAGTTTTTAAAATCCAGCTCAGTGTCCCCTTTGGAGCTGCAGAGGAAGTGACATGTGCCCTCATCTTTGTACATACCCCCATGCCATGCTCATCAGAAGTCCCATGGACCCCCCAAACCTTCCGTTCATCACATGGGGGTTATGAATGGCATCTGTCCATCATGATGCCTATGGGTCAGATGAGCAGATTCATAGTCCTGTAGGCTGTGCACATTACGAAGCCCTTGGCAAGCATGAGAGATGTGTGTGCTTGTAATTATGGGAGGATGTTGGTTTCTGACCTGCCAGGGCATGGCCAGCCTGTCCCTCACTGCCCCACGTGACCCAAGGCCCAGCCTCCTGCAGGAGCCCCCTTCCTGTCGTACAGTAGGCCAGTTCTGCAACCCTGCTCACCCTCCTTGGCTCCCAGGTGCTTTGGCCTGCTCCTCGCCCACCTGCTGGGAGCCAGGGCAGTCAGCCATGTGCTGGTTGTAAGCACAGGCACCCAAGGTGCACTGCCAGCCCACCCAGGGAGCCCCTACCCAGGGAGCCCCCACCGTTCCGCACCCACCGCCTGCCTCTGCTTGCTCCTGGGATCTGGGGGCCTCCCTGACTGCTGTCCTCTACCCCCACGCTCTCCTCCTGCCCAGCTTGGACTGTGTTTACCGTAAAAATGGAAAGGTCCCCTCCTGGCTCCCACCCACTCTTGTTCCTCCCTCCTCCTCTGCAGCTTGCTTTAATGTCCTTGAATCCCTCTTGGGCCCTTTAACAAGCCTTCCTTCATACCCTTATCAAGCACTGTCTGAAGTACTTACTCTATGTGGGGGCCTTGTGGGAAATCCAGCAATCTATTCATTGTGAGCACTCATTGTGTCTTACCAGCACCCTTAGTTAGTCTGCCGTCCTGTACATTGCAAGTGTTGCTTCCTCATGCTTTCTTCCCTTTGCACATGCTGTTCCCTAGGCACCTAGAACTCCCCTTCCTACCTTCTCCCTGACAACAGCTCATGCTTCAAGGTCCAGCTCAATGTCCCCTTTGTTGCCTTTTATAAAAGCCCCTACAAGGAAAGTTCATTATGCCCTCGTCTTCGTACACATTCTCCTCTCCAGGGCCCACCTTAGCCTGGCAGAGGCATGGGGCTACGTTCTGAGGAGAACCACTGGGCCGTGTTGCGTGGGTTCACAGCAGACTATCAGTGGGCTCTAACACTTAGTGATGAACTTAAAAACTAGATGCCATAAGAGAGAGTTGTCAGAAACTGGTCCCAACATAGTACCTACCTATTACTGCAGCTGCAGCCTAATCTTTATTTGATGTCACGATTAGTCTCCTGTCTAACGTTATGTATCGGCTGACACTCTAGTGCGTGTTATTTTCTAATACCAGTCGCTTGTGTTCTGGTTGCGTGTATTTGGCTTGTTTGCTCCTGAGACCCTGAGGAAAGTATCACGGAGTCTTCGGGAGGAGCTAAGTCTTGCAACCCGTCCTGCCTCCTCTCGCATATCCGTGCTTGCCTCCACTCGTCCACGAGGATTTATTGTGCACCTGTTACAGCCATTATGTATCAGGGTGACAGGCTTATATTTCCACTCAGATGTGCAAAGGAAATGTCAGTTCTTTATTTTCTAGAATTTCGTTAAGCATCCTCGCCGCACAGATGGTGGAGAAACTTACACTTGTCAGTTCATGAGATCTCGGCCTCCGGTGGTTTAGCGTCTCCTTCCAGTCCAGGGACTGAGTCTGTCCAGGTGTAACTCCCCAGAGAGCTGGCGAGGTGCTCCCTTGGAGATGACTTGGTCATATAGATAAATGCCTGGTCTTTCTAATGTCCACCTTCCCCCCTTCTCCTGCCCAAGATGGCATCTGGGTATATAGATGTCACCTATGTCTTTGGAGCATTGAAGGTGGCAAGGGAGAGTGGATGGAGGGCTCCTGACCTCACAGTGTCCTTGGCTGGTCCCCACGGGGGGGATGTGGGTCTGAACTTGGCCGTGTCTGCCTGGCACGTGTTGAGCCTTGCTCAGCCTGATCCTGTCCTGGGCATCTGTCCTCTGAGCACAGGCAAGGCCCCCGAAACATGGCCTGCTGCCCTCTCTGACCAAGCCTCACTAGGCTCTCACTGGTGCTGCCTACTCCCCTGAGATCTGCCTGGGCTCTTACCTGGGCAAGACCGGTGTCCAGCCTGGGCAGCCTGAATGTGAGAGGCTCCTGGCTGAAGGGTCATTTGGCCCCGGTGGCAGCAACCTCCCTTGGCAAGAGCCCCACCCTGAGTCTCCACTAACTTCTAAATCCCCCTTAAGTACAGATGGAAGCCCCTGGTTCCTTCCCATGGCACAGGAGAATGGAGGGTGCTCAGAGGGCACACTCGGGCTCTCCCTGGCCTGGACTGACACAGAGCATGGGGAGGGCCCCTGCGAGGGGTCTCCTCCCAGAAACTCAAACAAAAATGGGGCAGAAGCCCCCTGCCCACCCCCATGTTCCTCACTAGCTTTCTCAACAGGGCCCCTGAGCTGGCACTCAGCTCACAGGTGATGTCACCGGCTTCTCACCTCCCTCTGCGTTTCTTCCTCTCTGTCTCCCTCCCACAATCCCCCGAGGTGGAGAAGGCCAACTCTAGTCTTCATTCTTTCTGACCTGGACTTTCCTACACCCTGGACTTCCTCCCTAGGCATTCGGCCTCCTGGTTCAGCCCAAAAAGTGGAAAAGATTTCCACTCTCTCCCTTAACAGACGCCGTACATCCACTCCCCATATGTCAATCATCCTCCTACAGACTCAAAAACTCCTTCTCTCAATATTAAAAGTTGAATATCGATCCCCTGTGACTCCCACGTACTTGCTTTTGACTCTGGACTAAGGAAGTCTCAGTTTGCTCATCTGTAAAATGGAGAGCTAACAGAAGCCACTTCGTAGGCTGCTGAGAGGACTGAATGGCGCGATGTAGATCCAATGGTTGGCCCGGGATGAGTGCTGGGGAAATGTGAGCCGCTGTCACACTCCCCATCCTGGAGGAAATGCACATGAGATGACAGTTCAGATTATTGTTCCCAAAAATATGATCCTGGTTTCAGCAGTTAACATGTACCAAGCACCTACCATGAGTGAGCACCTATTGTGTGCTTAACGGACAAAAGCTAGTCTGGACAGAGGGCAGGTGGAGGATAGGAAAGAGACAATAGGAGCTGGCAGGTCCAGGCCTCTCCTGGCTGACTTGCCTGGTTGCTGTGATCAATCTTCTCCTTCAGGCATGAGCCTAGCAGGAGACCCCTGGGCACCAGAGTCCCCAGTGCGGGTCCCAGGACTTGGCATTAAAGCCAAGGCTGAAAGGTCTTCTGCACCTGGTCCAGGTGGGCAGTCTCTGAAAGAAGTGACCATCAAGGCCAGGTGCGGAAGGTTCTGTGTCACTAGGTCACCGAACATACCTACCTCGAACGTACCTACCTCTTACATTCTGTGGGCCAGAGACCGCGGGGTGGGAAAGGAAACGGGGGAGGAAAGGAAGCCTTTGTTGAGCAAGCATTCTAACCTCAGTAACCCATGAGCACAGATTCTATTCCCGGATTTCAAAATTGAGGCTCAGAGATGTTGAGCTGTTTTCTCAGGGTCACAAAGCTAGTACGTAGCAGAGCCAGAACGTGCATCCCTTCATCCCCTCAACACATTGTCTTCTCCAAAGCACGCCCCCCTCCCAACCTCCAGCCTCTCGGCTCCCGTGTGTCCTGGTGTCTCCGGATGGGAAGCTGCCTGCCATGTGTGAGCAAACTGATGGTCTCCTATTGGAAGAGCCTGCAGAGATGCAGGACCAGCCTGGTCCCTGCAGAGCCCCTGCCGGCGACACCAACTCTGGATTGGATTAGATAGAGGGTCACAATGTTTTTTTCTTAACTTGTTCTCTTACCTTTCTTTTCCTGTTGATTTTAGAGTGAGGAAGGGAGAGAGAGTGAGAAATACAGAGGAGAGAGAGAGAGAGAGAGAAACAGTGATATGAGAGAAAAACATTGATCATTGGCCTCCTGTACATGCTTCAACCAGGGATCAAACCCGCAACCTGGTAAACCCACAACCTGGGTATGTGCTCTGACCTGGAATCAAACCTGCACCTTCTGGTGGACAGGATGACACTCCAACCAGCTGAGCCACACTGGCCAGGAGTTACCATTTTTTTTTTTAAATAAAAAGGAGGAGGGGGTATATCCGGCTGGGAAAACACAGTGGTGGAGGCAACTTGATAACCGATGGTTTTCTGAGTGCTTCCGCCTGAAGGAAGCCAACAGCTGCGGCATATTGGTTACATGGAAATCATTAAGTCATTCTGGGAAGGAATGACAAATGTGTGTGCCTGCGTGTATATGGCAGACATGTGTTTACTACAGAGCGAGGCACCCACAGAGGGAATTGCCTCAATATCGCCTCCAGGCCAAAAGTAGGAAAATGAAACGCCAGTAAAGCTCTATTGCAGGAGACGATTCTGAAAACCAAATTCTCGGCTAGTGTGGAGGTTGAACTTAAAACTCAGAGGGAGGGATTGTCTATTCTTTGACCTCTAACCTGACCAGAGGACTCCCTTTAGCAAAAGGTAGCACCTTAGGGTGGAACCAGCCTGGACAGGGGGTCAGGAGCCCTCGGACTGGTTTCGCCTCCTTTAGTAACGAGAGGATGACCCTGGGGAAGTTTCTCTTCTCTTCTGGGCCTTAGTTTCTCCGTGTAAAATGAGGGGGGCTGACAAGGTGGTCTCCGGTGTCACTTCCTGCTCATATCCCATCAATGCCTTATAAAATGTTACAGCATAAACTCTGTGGGCCTGAGCTTCCGCTCCTAGAACAGCAAGCCCCGCCTGTCCCCCAGCCCCACCCAAAAAGTGTTTCCTTTGGTAAAACTTGATTTTTCTATAAATCTCATTTGCCTTGTTGCAGGTGATCATTTGCATCCACAGCTAGGTTTTGCCCCCAAACTAACTCCCCAGGATGTAAGACAAAGCAAAGCAATTCGTTGTTCCCCGCAGAGGTGCTCACATCTCAGACTCGGGTACACGGAAGGGCTGAGGCAGGTCATGGTGCGCGGGACAAGGCACCGGTGTCCCCAGGTTTGGCCTCTGAAGGAGCAACAGCGGGGACCTGAGACTCCTGAACCCACTGAGGGGGGTGCCTGGGCCGAGGGGTGGTCTGGCCGCGCAATCTGTGTTGAGTGAGTGTGTTGGCCTGGAGACCGGGGAGGACGGGGCAGCAGCCAGTTGTTGGTCAGACCCAGTGTGATCCTCTTGATGACCCTGACAATAGAGACAATGTTTGTCTCTGTCTTAAAGTGGCAGAGTCTGATCTGCAACCAGTTCTCTCACATCGCGGTCAGCACGCTCTTAACCACACACGCTAATGCAGTCTCTCCGCCTCGGTGCCAGCAGTAGTTCAGACCAGAGAACTCTTAGCTTTGGGGGTGTTATGGACTGAATGGTGGGTCTCCCCAAAAGCCTTATGTTGAAGCCCTAACATCCAACATGATGTTCTTGGGAAGTGGGGGCTTTCGGAGGCCATTGGGTTTAGATTAGGGTTAGTGGCCTTGTAAGAAGAGAAGGAGAGATAGGCTTTTCCTCTCCCTCTCCGCACTCACACATCTACGAAGCCACAGGAGCACACAGAGAGAAGGTATGTACACCAAGGAAGAAGGCCTTTCTGAGAACCGAATCTGACCGAGTTTTGTTTGGGGCCTCCCAGACTCCAGAACTGTGAGAAATAAATGTCTGTTGCTTATGCCACTCAGTCTAGGTCAGCGGTTCTCAGCCTGTGGGTCGCGACCCCTTTGGCAGTCGAACGACCCTTTCACAGGGGTGGCCTAAGACCATCCTGCATATCAGATATTTACATTACGATTCATAACAGTAGCAATATTACAGTTATGAAGTAGCAACGAAAATAATTTTATGGTTGGGTCACAACATGAGGAACTGTATTTAAAGGGCCAGAAGGTTGAGAACCACTCAGTCTAGGTGTTTTGTTCTGGCAGATGACCAAGTCAGGGGGACTCTTCTGTGCATTGTAGGAGGTTTAAAAGCATCCTTGGTCTCAACCCCCAAGGTACCAGTGGCCATCTCCCCAGTTGTGACAAATACCTGTCTGGACAATGCCCAGTGTCCACCAAAGGGGAAAGTCCTCCCCAGGTAAGGACCACTGCTCAGATGTCAGCCCAAGGTCGGAGGAGAAGGTGGCACCCAGAGAACACTGTGCTCACAGTCCAGTGTAAGGAGTGAGCCAGGAGGCGGAGGTGGGTGTGGGCCCGCAGCAGTCAAGGCAGCATGGAGCAGGAAAGGAACATGGGAAGCAGATGCTAAAAAACCGAGATGTCCACAGCACCTTCTTGTGATGAGATATGAAGAATGGCTGAGTTGGCATACATCTGAGCAGGCACTGGTGATCCGGAGTCCAAAGCCTTTTCATTCATTCACTCAAGGGCGAATGTGCCGAAGGCCCACTGAGTGCCAAGCACTGAGCTGGCCCTGGGAGTCAGGATGAATGAGCAGCGCCAGCCCGCCTTCCAGGAGTGGGTGTTCTAGGGAGAGAGACAGGAATGTTCATGCCATCGGTGATAACAGCCATGCCCAGATGTCAGCTGAAGACTTCCCGAACTCTTGGGATTCAAGGAAAATTCCTTGGCCTTCCTCAGAATTTCTGCTAATCTGTGGTGCCCTCATCATCTCCAGAACCTGCAGCCTTTGGGGTACTAGAGTCCCTGTGGCCATTGTCCCCCAACACAGCCACACCAGCATCAAGTCCAGCTGCTTCTTGACTCAAGAGAGAGCAGCCCAGCCAGTGTGGTTCAGTGGTTGAGCACTGACCTATGAACCAGGAGGTCAGGGCACATGCCCGGGGTGCAGACTCGATCCCCCGTCGGGGACATGCAGGAGGCAGCTGATCAATGATTCTCTCTCCCTCTCCCTTCTTCTCTGAAATCAATTTTTTTTAAAAAAAGATACAGAGAACAGACTGATGGTTGCCAGAGGCGAGGAGATTGGGGGGCTGGGTGAAAAAGGTGAAGGGATTGGAAAGTACAAATTGGTAGTTACAGAATAGTCACGGGGGTGTAAAGTACAGCCTAGGGAATGGAGTCAATAATATTGTAATAACTACGCACGGTGCCAGCTGGGCACTGGAAATAACAGGGGAAACACTTTGTAAAGTATATGATTATCGAACCGCTACACTGTACGCCTGAAACTAATACAAAATAATATTGAATGTCAACTGTAATTGGAAAAAAATAAAAATAAATGTCTTAAAGAATATGACCATTCCCTGAAGCCCAAATGCACAATTGCTACAAATTTAATAAATATTTTGAGATTGGACGTAAATTCAAAGAAAATAAAAAAGCTCGGCTGCTTCTCCTGCTCCCACCACAGACAACCGTCTCCCCGACCCTGGGCGGTGTGCTCAGTGGACTTGCCCACCTCCTCCGTCACCTCCCGCCTCCACTCCTCGAACCCCCTCCCTGTTCTCCAGTCTGATCTCATCTTCCCACGCAGGGCAGTGCCCGCCACCAGGAGGCCGAGGCTCCCGCCAACCCAGGCCCTGAGGAGGCTCACCTTCTATCCCAACCACTTTCCAAAGTATTTCCCCCACAGAAACCTCCCTCCCTAAGGAGCACTCTGGGAACAGTTGTTATGATGAAATAAAATCAGTGTAGCAATATGTGGTAATAAACACTCAGCATAGTGATTCAGACGAGATTCTCTGGAGTTGGAATCCCAGCTCTGCCTCGTAACAGCTGTGTGGGCCTGGGCCTTGCCCTTCCCTACTCTGTGCCCTTCATTTCCTCTTTGATTTGTGAAATGAGGACAATAGGAACATAGTCCACACGGGGTTGTGAAGAATGAGAGGGAAACTCAAGGTGGAAAGTGCTTAGAACAGTGTCTGGCCCGTAGTAGGTGCTCAATACTAGTAAGTGTTGGCTGCTGTGATCCCTGAGGGATGGAGGGCTTTGGGATGGAGTCTGGGACAGTCACAGGGCAGGGGGATGGGGAGAATTCCAAAGGATGAGGAAGAGTTTGCCCCCAGGAACCTCCGATGCCCTGAATTGTATGGAATCAGGCCCTGCTAAGTCGTGCGTCCCTTCTCAGCCTGGTTAACTTCCCTCTTGGCTTTCCCATCCATGTCCCATTCCCACGGGGCTCAGTGAGACACTTGGGAAAATATTTTCCAAAATAAATTTCAAGTCATTATCTGACCCAAACCACCCGGTTCTGCAGCCCAGCCCTGTCTACTAATGTTACCGCCCTGCCCCTATTTAGACTGGGGTTTTAGCACTGACCGCCCTGCACCAGGGCTTCCCTGTCCTGCCACCTCCTGCCTGAGTCATCCCGTGATGTCACAAGCCTAGATTTATGGTGTTGGCCAGAGCAGTCTCAGGGATGACTATAGACGGGACCAGCCTCGAGTCCAGCTGTGAAACCAGGCACACCGTGTTCCACCTCCCACCACCCCGTTCTTCCATGATGTCATGGGAATCAGACAGAACAGCACTGCCTCCACGCTCTGCTCATTCTTTCTGTTTGACTGGGGACCAAGGCCTTTCTTGAAGCCTCAGTTCCCTCATTATTAAAAGGGAAGTTTGACAATCCAAGTAAACAGCCTAAGTGAGAGTGCCTATGTTGAATGCAGTGGGGTCATCAACATTTATTGCCACAATTATGGTGCGTAACAAATCACCCCAAAACTCAGTGGCTTAAAATAACCATTAGCTCAGCCGATGTGGCTCAGTGGTTAAGCGGCGATCTATGAATCAGGAGGCCTTGATTCGATACCCAGCCAGGGCATAAGCCCGGGTTGCGGCCTCGATCCCCACTGTGGGTAGGAGGCAGCCGATCAGTGATTCTCACTCATCATCGATGTTTCTCTCTCTCCCTCTCCCTTCTTCTCTGAAATCAATAAAAATATATTTTTTAAAAATAACCATTAATCTTGCTGGGAATTGGCTGGGCCTACCTGGGCTTGGCTCCACGTTGATAGACCAGCAAGCCCTCAGGGTATGTTCTCAGCATGGCAAGTACAGGACAAGAGGGGCACATCCAAGAGCACGAACACATTTTAAGCCACTGTCTGTACCATGTCCGCTAGCATCTTGCTGGCCAAAGCGAGTCACATGACCTAAGTCCAGGATTTAAGGACAGGAGAAGTATGCTCATCCTCTACTGAAAAAAACTACAACGTCACCTGGCATAAGATCCGGATACAGAGAGGGGTGAAGAATTGGGAATAATGCCATCTGCTACAATAAGTGGTCCCGCGGTATGTCCCCTAATTTCCAGCTCTCCTCCGCATCCAGGGTCCTCTTGGCTTCACATCCTCGTCACTGAAACTCCCTGTCAGGAAAGAATGGAACACTCACGCTCGTGTATAAACGGCCCGGAACTGCTGGATAGCACCTCAGCATTTGATCCAGATGTTGGGATGTGTTGACACGCCCCAAGCTCAGACTCTCCTTAATGGGATCTGGAGGCTCGGAAATTACTTGAAAATGGAATAACCCTCTCGCCATGTGCTTCGGTCAACTTGATGCCATATCCAAGCATCCCCCAGAATCAGAGCAGGGGCCACCAGGAACTCCAGCCCAGCCTCGTATGCCTGCAGCCTTCGAGGAAGAGACCACCAACTGATCTTCTCGGAGGTCCTTCAGTCCCTCCCCTGTGGACCCCCTTGGATTTAGTCTTTGGCTGGAGGAGGGGCGTTTTTGATGGCGTCTTCCAAGGGCAATGGCCAGTTTTCTCGTGACGCAGAGAATAAGTGGGAGAGAGAAAACCTAAACAGGCAAAACAAGTGGCCAGCCCAGCCCAAGCCCCTGACAGTTGCAGGGATATGCAGACCAGGTCTGATTCAAGGCCAAGGTCCCCAGCCATGCAAGGTGGGGGCCTCAGGGGAGTCGGCCCTTGTCTTTCATCCTGATGACTTCTTACTGTCTGACACCAAGTGCTCTGCCTGAAATGTCCGCCCTTAGCACGCCTCCTAAGAAATGGAGCCACAGAGGGAGAGGCCCCCTTCTTCCCACCATCTCTTTGCTTCTCAGACTCTGCTCACAAAGGCAGCCCTTCCCTCAGACCCGAGCAAGCCTCACACAGAGTTTCAAGGGCGCGGGGAGACCTTCTCAAGGTCTTTCCGCTTCTGTGACGCTGCATTTGCAACCCTCCTGGAGCACCTCTTATAAGACATTCTGCTCTGTCTTTATTCATCTATTTTCCCAAAAAGATCTAGTGCGGAGAAGTGCTCAAGAAATGTTTAAAACTCAGACGTCAGTCTTCATTAAAACTGCCAACACCAAGCAAGCATGTGTGTAGGAGACTCAGTCCACCACCGTCCCAGGAGGACTCAGATACAAGAAACAGAACTGGATTTTTTTGTAGGGTTCAACTGATTTTCTATTTCAAGCACCAGTGTGGGCAAAACCCAGCCAAGTTGGGGTTCCCTCCCCTTCTCCTAAGGCTGTGCCAAAGTTTGGGGGCTTCCGTTAGTCCCGAGGTGTCAGAAGGGAACAGTCACTGTCAATGCCAGCATCCACCTGGCATCCACGGAGATGCCCATGGCCCTGTGGTCCCCATTTAACAGTCCACACAGGTTGAATTCAATTGACCCCATCCCCGTGGTCCCTTTCAGGTCACCTGCTGGGTCTGGGTCTCTCCTGGTTGCCCAGGACTCTCTCTCTCTCTCTGCTGTTCTCAGACCTCATTAGGGCAGAAAGCCCTGTTGGCGGCTCCATCTACCCAGACGGTTCATCAGCCATTTCCTCCCTGGATCCTGGCCGCCTCCCCAGCGATAGAGTTCTGCCAGGAAACAGTGCACAGGTCCGCTCTGCACCTCAGGGTCCCCAACCTCCTTGGAGTTTGCCACCCACCCCTGACCTCATGCTCCAGAATCAGGGTTCAGTTCCCCATCTCCCTTCCCCCAGAAAACATCCACTGCTAAGGTTTTACCTCCTCATCTCCCCTCTCCCTCGCAGGGGAAGTCCTCGCCTCATCTCAGAAGTGAGCCCTGCTCTCACTCACCCTACTCCTCCCGGATCTGTGGCCTGCCAGGCCCAGAGTCTTTGGTTTTCTTAAGGACTCCGGCTTTTAAAGCTCAAAAGCCAGGAGGTGTTTCCTCTTCTCTTCTCTTTGCTCTCTCCTGTCACCTCCCTGTCCTGAGGCAGCAGCGACCCCAGAACAGACCAGGGGCTCCCGTGAAGGAGAGTCTCAAGAGAGAGAGGGGGCAAACCAGGTTGAAAAAAATGACCAGTTGAAATTGTCAGCAACCTCACCCAGCCTCACACACATGAAAGCCTGTGTTAGTTTTAGGGCAAACAGAGCAGCCAAGTTCAAGGTATAAGGAGGTACTTCCCTGCCTCTCCTGGGCCCTTAGCACTCCCTTCACTGTTCTTCGGTTTTAGGAAGGATGCTGGGCCTCTGGGACTTCCCTTCGTAGTTTTGTAAGAAAATTATCTGGAGGAAAGAATGTCACTGTCAAAACACCTGTCTCCACGCCCCCATCCGTCCCCCACCCTCACCCTCCCCCCTCAGAGACCTGCCCCGAGCTGCTCGACCTCTCACCATCTGGGCCACTGGCCACCTGGCCACCTCACTCCAGGACATCTGAAGTGACTCTCAGGATTGGAGCCGGGGTTGGGGGTGATGGAGACTCGGGGTACAGAGGCTCAGTAGCTGCAGACACCGGACCCAGCTTCTCCCCGATTTCTGGGAACAGCCAGAAAAAGAGGAGAAAGTCCTCAAGGCTTCCACATTGGGAGGCCCAGGCGGCCTCCCCAGTCCTGGGGGGAGGGAGGGGCCAGAGGTGGGAGAGGCCGCTGAGCTATTCCAAAGGCGATTTCTTCACTTCCTGGCAGCTCCAGGCCCAGCGTGTGTTTGTTTAGGAGGGAAAGGAATGTCACTGATTGCCCAGGTGGTGGCGGTGAGGGGAAAACAAAAATAATCTGCCCAGCGGTTCCTGCTTCCTGTGCATGTGTCCGTGAGCGTGAGCGTGAGGTGCCTCTGCAGGCCGGGCGAGCCCCCTGCTAGTGTCGGCTGCAAAGGACTCATGTGGGAGCCATTGATGGAGCCAGAGCCTGCTGAGGAGGCACCCCCAGGCCCCGACGCTCCCCTGACAGGACAGCGGCCACCTGGCCCCCAGGAGGAGACCTTTATTCTCAGTTATAGCTTCTGGGACTGGTGGCAGGCCTTCCTCCTCCTCCTCCTCCTCCTCCTCCTCCTCCTCCTCCTCCTCCTCCTCCTCCTCCTCCTCCTCCTTCTCCTCTTCCTCCTCCTCCTCTTACTCCTCTTCCCCTCTTCTTCTTCCTCCCTCTCTTCCTGCTCCTCTTCCTCTTCTTTCCCTTCCTCCTCCTCCTCTTCCTCCTCCTCCTTTTTAGAGTTGAATAATATTCTTTTGTGTGAATATGCCACATTTTTGTTTATGCGTGCGTCAGTTCATGGGCATTTAGGCTATTTGCACCTTTTGGCTAATATGAATAATGCTGCTATAAATACTCAAGGACAACATACGTTTTAATTGCTTTTGGGCAGATAACAAGGGGCGGAATGGCTGGGTTCAGGGCACCTATGTAATATGCAATTCCTGGGCCTGCAGACCCTCTAAATCAGACTCTCTAGGAGGGGGTCCAGATTACATACCCCTTAGCCTGCTCCGAGGCACACAGAACTGCACCAGTGTCAGAACCTCTGGCCTGCAGCACGCCCCTCTCCTGAGACAGAGAGCCAGCAGGAGGCCAGCCCTGCCTGACTGTCTGTAATTTAATTGCCACTATTGACGTTTGTGCAGAATTTATTTAGGCTGTTCTCATATCGAGTGATGCCATGGAGCCACGTTCAATCCTTGCAGCAGTCAGAGAGGCCAGCATGGTCACCCCACATTGCTGCCAGTAGACAGAGAGGTGGGCCCATGCCCAGGTGCACCCAGCTATGAGCTGCAGGGCACACCAGGGCCTCTTGGTGTGAAGCCCAATGCTCATCCATAGCACGTCTCTGACTCTGTTTTCTAAATCAAAGCTGAATCCATGGGCTCAGACAAGTAGAAGTGTATTTGTGGAGCCTGTGAGGGGCTGGGGGCTGGAGCCCTCCCCCACCCCAACGCTGGCCCTGAGGCCCCCTAGTGGAACCCCTAGTGCTTTACATGATGTCCAATCAGTTCATCCTGGCCAACAGCCCTATGGGGCAAAGTACTATTATTTCTCCCATTTGACAGATGAGGAGACTGAGGTACAAAGTGGAAGTAATTTGCCTGAAATCTTGCACCTCTATGGGAATGAGCTAGGATAGAACTTGAGGGTTTCACAGCCAACGCCCTTGACCACTGTATACCAACTGTCAAGTGCTGGCCAAATGACAGGCTTTGTGTGACTATCCACGACTGCCCATGAACTAATGGGAGTGCCGAAGACATCACGGCAGTCCCTGGGCCTTGCAAACCCTGTGTGCATTACCTAAACGGAAATGAGATTAGGGAAACACCATGAAGCAGGGATTGCCCAGGCTCTGGGGTTCATTTCTCTACCAGTCGTAGAGTCAACCCCTGAGCCAAGCTGAGAAATAAGTAGGAAGGAGAAGGTTAAGGAGGGTGTTTGCCCTCTAGCTGTTGAATGCCTAGCGGGCTTCTGCCCCAGCCGGGACCTTCCTGCCCAAACCCCGAGCACAGAGCTACAGATTCACAGCCATGAGCTCTCAGAGCAGGAAGGAACTTCAGAGATCATCTGGCCATCCCAATAGTTCCCAGATTTAAAAGACAATAACCCAGGGCCCCAAAGGGCGGGTGTCTGTCTTGCCCAAGATCACACTGCTAATGCCAGTTCCCACGAACTTAGAACTTACCAAAACTGCGCACTCACAAACACAGTCTCATTTATGGAAGGAGCCCCAGAGGCCCTGAAAAGAGGGCGTCATTGGCCCCGAGGTCACACAGTTACAAAATGTCAGATCTGGGGTTCCAAATGCCAGGCCAGTGCCCCCACTCCAGGCCAGTGCCCCCCTCCGCCGGGCGCACGGACCAGCGGGAGCAGAGCCCCCTACTCAAGCTGCCCGTTGCCCTCTCCGCTATCGGAGAGATAAACCACCCTCTCCTCCTGCCACGTCCCAGCAATCAGCGCTGGAGCAGCCAGGGCGCCGCCGTGTGCCTGGCGATATGGGAGCAGCACGCTCACCCACAGATGCCAACACCCCTGCGTTATGCAACAAGCCGCTGGTCCAAGAGTTGCTGTAACACCTTTATCTGCCCGGGGCAGACCCCATCTGCCAATACGCAGCGTCTCTCTGGCGCCGGGTGAACCAACGGGAGCGGTCACCGAGCTCCTGGCCCTTCGCTATCTGACTTGTTTTTGTAGGAAGTCAACATAAGAGCCAAAAGCAAATTCCTCACCCCATAGACTGTTCATTTCCTGCCTTTGGTGACATTAAAAGGGCTCTGGCTTGGGCAAAACAGGCTTTGGAGTGGAGGTGCTGGAGCCCGACTCCCCCTGGTTCACATCCTCCATCACCACTGCGGCTGGATGGCCTCAGGCAAGTCGGTTATTCATCCATAAAACGGAAATCTTCGCAGTGCCCACCTCCTCGCCTGGGTGGGAAGATCAAATGAGATCATGGATATAAAGCCCTTGAATGCCTGGCACATAGGAGTTGTTTCATAAGAAGTATAATTGCCTGGCCGGTGTGGCTCAGTGGTTGAGTGTCAACCCACGAATCAAGAGGTCACAGTTCAATTCCCCGTCAGGGCACATGCCTGGGCTGCGGGCTCGATCCCCAGTGAGGGGCGTGCAGGAGGCAGCCGGCCGATGATTCTCTCTCATCATTGATGTTTCTATCGCTCTCTCCCTCTCTCTGAAAGATATAAACACATATTTTTTAAAAAGGAGCATAATGACTACTGAGCTCTCAGGAAAGATGCAGCACCCCTACGACTGCCCGTCCCTGGAAGCCAGGGCTTTACTGGGTGCTTTCTAAAGGGCCCCCTGCTCTCAGGATCTGTGAGTTATTTAACTTCGGGTGGATGTTGATTCTCTTCTCCTTGCCCCTGAAGGAACTTCAGGGTCCATCCGTAAGCCTGAGGCAGAGCTGTGCAGAAGGTATGCTCAGCTGGCCTAAGGGCCCAAAGAGCTGAGGATTTCAAAATAGGTGCAAAAAATGACGCGTCAAACAGCATCTGCTCTTTGAAGGCATCTTAAAACGTCCCTCCAGCGTGGGTTGGTGTTAGGGCTGGTATTAGGCTTGCTGTTGAATTCAGGGTCAAGTTTGGCGTCGCAAAGCTCAGCAGTGGGTGTGTTAGACAGGCTGGAGTTTGGGGTGAAACACACCTGTGTCTGACTTCCCACGCAGAGGTAGGGGACACCCCTGCAGCCCCGGCAGGAGCCGGGACCAAGGGGTCTGATCTTCATCCCAGCAGTGAAATCCCAGTGACGGGTCTTAAGCAAGAAAGGGTGTCCTGAGAGGGAACGCTCTGTTGGAAATGCCCTGCATCTTGACGCAGAGGTGGTCACGCAGCTGTATGCTTGTGTAAATGGGATGTCGCTGTACTCTTTAGACATATATCTTTTACTGTATGTAAACTGTACGTCCACTTATTTAAAAAGATAAGCATGCCAAGCTCATAAGAGGCAAAGCCAAGACTCAAATCCACAAAGGGCCAGGACTCATGTGGGGTTAGGGTTGGGTTAGGGTTAGGGTTAGGGTTAGGGTTAGGGTTAGGGTTGGAGTTAGGTCAGGATCAGGGTCAGGGTTAGGGTAAGGGTTGGGTTAGGGTTGGGGTTAGGATTAGAGTTAGGTTAGGGTCAGGGTCAAGGTCAGGGTCAGGGTTAGGGTTGGGTTAGGGTTAAGGTTAGGGTTAGGGTTAGGCTTGGGTTAGGGTTAGGATTAAGGTTAGGTTAGGGTTAGGGTCAGGGTTACAGTAGAGCAAGTGAGGCAGGCTCATGCAAGTGTAGGGTCAGATCCTGCCTTTATGTAAAATGTCAGTATTTTTGTTCATCATGGACTTATGTACATTTATGTGATTTTTTATGGTTTAAAAATACTGCCCCTGGTTGTGGGCTTCGGCCAGCACAATATTCTAAAATTGGACGGATACAAGAGAAGGAGGGGTTCCGCATTGCCCCCGGTATAAGAGATTTCCAGCAAAATCCTTGGGCCCGTTTCCCCCTTTTAAAAAAAAAAAAAAAAAAATCCCCCCCCCCCAT